GTGGTAAATCATGTGTGGGACATATCCATTAGCTTTATATTCTTACATTCGGATATTCTTTTAGTTGCCTTATTAAAATTTGAAAATGCAAATTCCAATTATAAGAATAGATTTTTCAGGGAAAGTCACACCTAACAATTCCAAAGACGATATTTGCTCAATACCACTTATTTTTATGGGTGGTGCCTTACTACAAGTAGTTCTAGACGTAACTGACACGTTCTTTAGTTTTTGCTACATTTAGAGTCCTCAAATTACGTTTAACCTATTCTTATGCTATCGAGCTCCAATGAAGCAGTACAAGCGGTGCATTTAAATCACAAAATGACAGACGGAAGATGACAGATGACAAGACTAAAATAATCGCATGACTGGTATACAATGAAATATCACGAAATACTTTGAATCAAGTGGGATACGTAACCTTGTCGGTAGTTGTAATGGTCCGCAATAGTTACAACCGTAACGAAAGTATTGCGGCTTGAAAATGAATAACAGTCAAGTATAATTTACATAAACTATACCATGATAAGAAGAACGGTCAAAGAAATGATAAACCAGACGCTAGTCTTGTGTTCAATAAGACAACAACGGGTATTTCCGATATGCTACGCGTCTGATTTACAGGTAAAGAACATTACGTAATTAATGAATAAGCTTCCTTTGTCGGAACGCAAAGTGGATCAGACAGCATAACAGTTCTGGTAATACTCTTCAACGAGAAGGACAGCAATATGGTGGCCGATAGCTGCCACATGAATTTTTCACCTAAGATATATAAAATACAATGAAATCAGTTTGAAAAGCAAAGTGAATTGAAACAATTTATAAATTCTTCATAAATTCAATATAAAACAAAATCAAAATGAAAACAAAATACAAGGTTTAATGAAAAGAAAATCAAAGCTGAATATGTTGTTAAATTGAAATAAAAATAGAGATTCAAATAGTTCAAATAAAAGCGGAATTAAAATGAATTTGACAATGGCCTATGGCTGCCACAGTATCCCATGATGCAATGTGATATGATCCTATGCAGTTGGGGCTCCGGTGTTTTCCAAGATGTTTTCCTTTCGCAAGGAAGCTTGGAAAGACGATTCTGATCTTGAAGAAGATCTGAGAAAATATGTCACACAAATGAGTGACCAGAGAGGAAATTCTCAGCTTTATGATAAGAGACTACCCCCTTTATAGTTGGAGTATCCGATCACTCGAACGAAGACTACGGCAATTCGAAATTTTTTACAGCGATAAGAACGTGTCTGTTGACAAAGTGAGGAACGCAGTTCAACAGGAGTTACACGGCCCTGGAAAACTACTGCTGGGACACAGGACCATGCAAAAGAAAGTAAGACAAGAGCATAACTTGAACGTTCCCAGGGATTTAGTTCATGCTATTATGTATGACTTAGATCCTGAGGGTCTATATCACTATATATAAAATTTCGAAGTGCCGTAGTCTTCGATCGAGTGAATGATCACATAGAAGAAATACGAAGTAAAAGTTGCCCAGCGTCGTGGTGTTTTATGGTTCGAATTTTGTTGCTTCTCGGGGGAGGACAGCGTTGTAGACTTTGAAAGCCGCGGCAAAAGCGAGGGAGTATCTCCGGGAAGAACTCACAATTTGATGACCGTTTGCATCACTTTTAATAACTATGGTTTGCGTTGATCGCCAAAAGCTAATCGCTGTGGTAGTTGACGCATAAAATTCGATTTTTCGGTAATAATATTTTGGTTTACAACATATACAACTAAGATATAACGCGCGCTCTGATTGTTTGTGCATCTTTGAAGAAGAATGTATTTAGCAATCGTTTGGAGCACGCTGATGACGTCAAATTGGTGAAAATTTGGTAAAAATTGCAAGCATTCTGATCAGACTAAAGGACAACTAACTGGTCTACCTTTCTTTAAATTTAAAGGTAATGAATATAACTATTGATTCTCTTTACATAAAAAGCTCATAGCGTATTTGTTTTGAGCTCACGTTTGGCTTCCCTGCTAGCAGAGCCTCTCTTCTCTTTCTCTCCCTTCTTTCAGACTGGGAGGAAGGAGACTGCCGATGTAGAACGTTTCCTTTGATACACCGCCGTCCACGATCGTGGACGAACAAAACCAGTTTTAAAACCGGTTTCAACCGATTACATGTAGTGCGCATGAGCAAATGTAACACACCGTGGCGCCAAACATTGTTTGACGAGAGCGGCTGTCAAAATCACGACAGCGTTGCTAAGTTACGCCACGCATGCGCGACAGAAATAACGTCCTACATCGGCAGAGTCTATTTTTCTCTCTCAACCAAAACAAAAGAAAATAGGCTCTGCTAGCAGGGAAAAGTTTGGCTCACAGGTAGCCCAAGCTGGCTATATTAGTGTGGATTTATCGTAAAGTACAGTAAAAAATAAAATTCAAAAACTCATACAAATAAAGTTCTTACCTTGCGTCTTATGTTTTCTTTTTGGTCTCTGTGAAGTTTCAAGCCATTTGCATCAATATTGAGCGAGTTTCTTAGTGGAATATTCCACGTACTTTACTGATAAGGAAAGGTTGCACACTCATGAAGCCCGCTCGAACCCTCAAAATGTGCCAACAATTCCTTTACAGAGCCTTAGTCCGACACCTCATACATCCAAACCATTGACCTCCATTCAGCTATATTAAACGCTATCCATTTTTAAAGCAACTTTTTGCCAAGGCTATCTTTAGTTCGCCAGTGCTCTCGGCCAGAAGTCTTGCAACGGATTTTTACTGTCGTTGCAAAAGCCTCATCGTACCCTCCCCCCTCAGGTCAACACGCCGCCGCTAATTGTTTCACCGACCAATAACAATTGACTATGAAACACGTGATCTGTGAATCAGTAAAAACCCCTTCAATATTATTATTATTATTAATATTATCATTATTATCATTATTATTATTATATATTATTATTATTATATATTATTATTATTATATATTATTATTATTATTATCATTATTATTTTTGAAAAATGTATAATTAATGCTTTTAGTATTTTTCATTTACTTATGTGTAAAAGATTCAAGTAGCTGATCGTAAATTGCCTATATATAGCGAGAACGATTGAATTTGGAAAATATAATAAAGTTTGCACATTATTATTATTAATATTAATATTATTATGTGCAGTACTAACGTATAGATGCAAAAAGTCTATGACCTGTATAGGGCGCACAACGTAACCTGTACAGCCTAAAAGGAAACTGTTTGTGCGTATAAGATTCCGAATAGGGAACCCTGTGTTTTGTAGGTAGAGAAAAGCCTGGAGAGGGAGGAGAGTCGTCGTTTGTTTGTCAATCATCTTTGGTCCTTCGAGCCGGATCTAGTGATGGATTCACAGTCGTCTGAGAAATTAAATCGTCTGAAGAAGAGAAGAGCTACGTTGAAAGGTGGAATTACTCGAAAAAGCAACAAAGCAAGAAATTTGATCGAGCAATATGGAAGCCGAACTGTCCTGAATAATTTGAAACAACGAATCTCGGAGTTGAACCTTTGTTACCGCTGCTTAAATACTGGCCATAGAGGAAAGGACTGTAGGAGTAAGACCAGTTGTAATTTGAATGGCTGTCAAGGCACCCATCATTTTCACTTGCATTTTGAGAAACCGCAAGAACCGGAAACAGGAACGAAGGTTGAGCAAAAGCAAGGCTACACGTCCAAGTACACCACCGAAAAGAACTCCACAGCGCCTGGTGCGTTGCTGCTGCGTACCGTCCCTGTGTGGCTTCACGGCAACGATAGAAGAAGAATGCAAGTGAATGCGTTTCTGGACGACGGATCAGACACCACTTATCTACGCTACGACGTTGCTGTTGCGCTCGGATTACAGACTAAAGAAAAGCGTTTAAAGATATCAACTCTAACCGATACTGACGTTGACTTAAAAGGTCATGAAGTTACTGTCGACATCGAGAGCGTAGATGAATAAAAGAAGGCTACCATTTGCGCATGGACCCTGAAAGAGATGTGTAAGGGACTCCAAATACCAGAGTGGAATCGCCACAATGAGAAGTGGGATCATCTGAGAGATATTTCCTTCCCAAAGTTACCAGGAAGAAACGTCGTGATAGGGGCTGATAGGGGCTGACAACGCAGAGTTAACTCTATCGCTGGAAGAAAGGATCGGTGAGCCAGGTCATCCTGCGGCAAGAAAAACGCCGCTAGGATGGACATGTGTAGGTAGACTGCCAGAAGTTCAAAGCCAGGAACATACCGCATACGCAAGATCCTACAGAGCCCAAGTGACTGCGAATGTCTGTCTATATGAAGACTTACGCCGAATATGGGAAGATGATCTGCTCGGAGTCCAATCCAAGGAAGTAGAGGAGCTGAACGAACAAGAGATATTGGCTGTAAAAAAGGCACAAAAGTCATTGAAGTATTACGGTGATCGTTATGAGATAGCTATCCCTTGGAAGGAGGCTACACCTAGTTTACCTGGCAATCGTATGAGAGCTGAAGAGAGACTTGTTGCGTTAGAGAAGAAATTGTTAAAAGTACCAGAAGTAGCTGAACGATACAAGGAAGTTATGAACGCTAACATCGAGAAAGGATACGTTAGGAAGCTCGTTTTTCAGTCTCAGGGAGTGGGACCAGCCTGGTACCTTCCTCACTTCCCGGTGATTCGGGAAGACAAACAGACGACAAAGGTGCGCATAATATTTGATTCTGCAGCAAGGGAACAAGCAACGTCCTTGAATGACGCAATGCTAACAGGGCCAAAGCTTCAGAAAGATGTGATGGAGATATTGCTTTGTTTTCGAGAAAGCACAGTAGCAATAGTCGCTGACATCAAGGAGATGTTCTCACAACTAGTATTAGCAGATCAGGAACGTCGATTTCACCGATTTCTTTGGAGTTACCTAGACCAAACTAGACCTATTGATGTCCACGAATTAAGCTGTGAGGTTAACGTTTGGAGATCGTGCATCGCCATATCTTGCACAGCTAGTGGTGCGAAGTCACGCTGAAAGGTTCAAAATGGAATTCCCGCTAGCAGCAGCTGTTGTGCTATCCAAGATGTATAAGGACGATGTGCTGGATTCAACGTTCCAAAAGAGAGGCGTCACCCCGGACCAACAAGATGTAAAGTCAAGGCACCGCAGGACGTCCCAGTAGCGTGCAGCTTAGAGAAGGAAGAGTTAGCGCTCAGCAGAGAAGTACTGGCTTCGACAGGCACAAGCAGAAGGATATTCAGAAGAACTAGATGCTCTTAAGAAAGGAAAGGACGTCCCAAAGCGTAGTTATATCAATAAACTCACACCATTTCTGGACCAAGAGAATATCATCAGAGTCGGCGGAAGGCTTGAGAAGGCTCAGTTACCATACGACACGAAACATCCTGCTATCCTACCGAAAGGACATCCTGTCAGTCAGCTCATCGTTTCCCACGTCCACAGAAGAGGGAACCACAGCAGAGGTGTTAACTGTGTGTTTGCAGAGCTTCGACAAAAGTACTGGGTGGTGAATGGGAGAGAAGAAGTGAAAAGATCAGAACGCGAGTGTAATCTCTGCAAAATAAGAAGGAAACGAACAGGCCAGCAGATTATGGCACCGTTGCCAAAAGCTAGACTGCGAGTCTCGATGAGATGTTTTGCACGTCGTTGTGTTGACTATGCAGGACCATTAGTGACCAAACTTACCCGAAGAGTTACCGCAAAGAGATACTTGTGCCTTTTTACTTGTGCTGCTACACGTGCAGTTCATTTAGAAATAGCTTATAGTCTCGATACGGACAGCTTCCTGAACGCTCTGTCAAGAATGATAGCGAGACGAGGCAAGCCCGAGGAAATGATAAGTGATAATGGCACAAATTTCACTGCTGCTGACAACGAACTACGTCAACTTGTAGCAGAGCTAGACCAACAGAAGATCACAGACAAAGCCACCAACGAGTGGATAAAATGGAGATTCAACCCACCTACAGGATCTCACCATGGCGGAGTGTTCGAAGCCTTGATAAAGTCAGCCAAGAGCTCTTTGAAGCCTATTCTGGGAAACGCTGGGATAACTGATGAAGAGCTACACACAGCGATTGTTGAAGTTGAAGGTCTGATGAATGCGCGTCCGCTGACGTATCCAAGTAATGATCCGAGTGATGAACCTTCACTTACCCCCAACCACTTCATTAACGGTCAAGCGGGAGGTGAACTTGCCCCTCAAGGAACAGAGGAGTTGGCGTTTAACCTAAGGAAACGGTGGCGTTTCATCCAGGACTTAACGGCTCAAGCGTGGAGAAGATGAATGAAGGAGTATTTGACTATCTTGAATACTCGCAGCAAGTGGATGGACAAGCGAAGAAACCTAGCTGTAGACGACGTCGTTCTCATGGTTGATCAGAACAACCCAAAGGGAAAGTGGCCCTTGGGACGTACTACCACTACATTCAATGTTCTAATTCACACAACGCTCAACTCACATGTTGATTTTTACGGAGGGAGGAAACCGGAGAACCCGGATAAAACCCTCGTAGCATAGGTGAGAATTCGAACAACACATCAAACAAATTCAATTCAAATGTGGCGACCGCAGGGCTCGAACCAGCGACCCGACCCGTTGGACTCACAGCGGTGAAAGACGACGCGTTAGCCGCGAACGCCACCCATTGCTATACCAAATATCCAATATAACTGCTATCTCCATCAGTTATACACAAGATCCACGCCTTTCGTCATTGTAATAGTACACAAGCACTGCACCAATAATTCTCCAGAACTTCTACGAATTGGTTCTCTTCACCTTCTCTATCACAACCACCATTACCAAGTGCATCTCCACAAGCCGTTCAACACACGAGGTACTCCTACAGTCGAATATCACTGCCAACATTACCAAAACTGCTGATCCTCTAAATTACCCCTTTCGCAATTGGCTAGACGTCCCTTACTTCCTTTATTTTGTATTTATGCAACGTGTAGGGTAAAGCTCTTGGGCCTAAGAATCGATTTCCTTCGCGCTATCTTGCATCTTCGCCCCTGACGATAGGTCCAAGATAGGGCGCTAAGTCTAACACCCATACACTTTCGGTTCTACCTACACACATGAGCTCATCATACAAACTTTCAAGCAAATTATTTTTTGGTACATCATATCAACACCGCCCCTCCACACGTACCATGGCCATTCCCCGCGTTACCTTCAAATTAATCCTTACCAATTTCATATTTTCCCTCATTTGCTTTGAATATTATCGTGTACAAGAAACTGACTTTGAACTCGATAATTGCCGCGCTAACTTTTAGCACTAGGACTTTTAATATCATTATTATCGTGATGTTTATA